GGGGGAGTGGGGGAGGGGGGTTGCAGGGATTTGTGAAATGGTCGCTTTTAAGGACAAGCGGGCTAACCCAGATTCCGGGGGTTTCCAGAAATCTTGACCTGTACCAAAAGTAGGCATTGCCCTACTTATAGGAGAAGTTTGGTTTCATTGGTGTTTATATTTGTTGGGTTATAGAGAAAACTCTCCTTGTTTTTTAAAGAAACTGAACAAGAGGGGAAAAACTTTACTTTCGATTTTCTCAAAACAGAATTTTTCGGGATAGCCCCCTTGCGCTTAAAGGCGACCAAATGAGAAAATGAGTTGGTCGTTTTTAATGTACACTGTATGTAGAATGAATAATATTTAGAAAAACAATAATGTGGAAAGTCTTCATCTGCTTGAAATTGCTGTATATGTCAGGCTAAAATATTGGTCATCTTACCCAAAATGTGTCAATGTGGGCGTAACACGTTTGTAATCATCCGTTTAAAGGTGAACTTCGTGCACTAAAGTTGTTCTTAATAAATGGCATTTTAGTAGATTACACTGTATAGGAACGCGGTGCAAATACCAAGACTAATGTTTGAAAATGATTGCTGTTAGATTAGTTTCTTTCTTCTATTGTTTCTGTCTGTCTGTCCTACCTTTTCCCAGCACTAAATGACCATTATTGTATCTATGTGCTTCTCTTTACTCCAACAAATAAACACATAAACAAATAATCAAATAAACAAACAAACTAGGGGAATTTTCCTATTTTTCCATTTAGTTGATGATATCGTATCGGAGACAGACATTATATTTTGAGATCCAGCCTCTTAATTCCCTTTAAATTATTCAATGGGGCGCTGAACTCATGTCATTCTGTCTTTAACCCCCCAAAAAAGTCGTAATGTAAGATTGTAGACAATTATATTTTTCAGCCTCATCAACATATTAAAACCATTTTAAAGACTTGGAAAGTGAAAGTGTAAATATCCTGCACCCACATTAACGCATCTAAATCATTAAGAAGACGTTGAAAGAGAAATTGAATTAATTATAATACTGTTACGCCTACATTGACACATTTAATTAATTTCGGAGCCGTTGATAGTAGCATTTAATGAATTTCTTAGACGTTGCAAGTAAAATTGTAAAGCCAACAGATCGAAATATATAAATAATCAAGCAAACATTGAAAGTAGAATAGAAACATAATAGTGCACCTATCTCAATACATTTAAATCATTTCAGAGACGTTGGCTGCCTCTTAGATAACCTAATAGTGTTGATAGGGGCGTTAAACCCATACCGTTTCACCTTTTTTTTAGAGACGTTGAGAGTGAAATTGTACACATCTCATCCTCGCATAGACACACTTAAATGGTTTAACAGACGCTGAAAATAAAATTGTTGACATTGCACATACGCATGGACCCATTTAAATCAGCTGGTAGGCGTTGGGAGTAAAATTGTTAACACCTAAAGCCCACTTAAATCATTCAGCAGACGTTGAAAGTAAAATAAAATCGTAGCATTGCGTCAACATCAACTCATTTTTAAATTTAAATCATTTTAGAGACGCTGAGAGTTAACTTGTAAACAATTTTAAAGCCCACAGATCGACCCATTTAGATCATTTCAGAGGTACTGCAAGAAAACGTTTAGACATTGTCTACACGAATCGACTCATTTAAATCATTTCAGAGACGACGAGAGAGTAAAATAATTATAGACACCTAACGCCCACTATCGACAAGTCGAAGTCATTTCGCAGACGCTGGAAATAGCCATTGAAAAAAACCACATACACACACACACACACACAAACGTACACGCACACATACACAAACACACACACACACACACACACACACACACACGCACACACACACACACAAACACGCACACGCACACATAAACACACACAAACA